GCCACCATTAAACCCAGCAGAGCTGTGTCAATGTGCCACCATTAAACGCAGCAGAGCTGTGCCAATGTGCCACCATTAAACCCAGCAATGTGTCACCATTAAACCACAAAGTGTCAGCAGTCCCAGCAGTGCCTGTCTCCAGTCCTGCCCCTTTTGAGTCCCTCTCCTGCCTCTGATGTTGTCCTGACCAGGCCCTGTTCTGCCCCCATTCCATTTAGCCCATTCCTGTTCTTGTCTTGATCCTCCACCTCACCTTGCCTGTGTTCCTGTCCCTACCCCAACCCTACCACTACCTTCACACCTACTCTCAGCCTTTTTTTTATCCTGTCACTGCCCGTCCCTCTCTTTTCCCTCTCCTGCCCATCTCTCCTGCCCTGTCCCTATCACTCGTCCTGCCCCTACCCCTACACTTTTCCCTATTGCCCGCCCCTCTCCCTCTCCTGCTTCCTTCCCTTCCCTATCCCTGTGCTGTCCTTGCTCCAGGCTGACAACAGAATCCCCTGTCAGCCCACCACAAAGTTGAAGGGAAATTGTAAGCCAGGAGAACAGAAGTGTGATGAATGAGAGGGGAGGACAGAGAGGGCAGAAGAGAAGAAAAGATACAGGTAAGAGGAGCAGAGCCAATGGGGCAGGGGAAAGCAGGAGATGGCAGGGGAGAATGGACAAGAGGGAAGAGCAGAAAGGCAGTGAAAATAGGATTTCTTGAAAAGAAGTGTTTACAGCTTTATTACAAGACACGATGCCTCACAATAAGATGGATGGTTTTCCAATTCCTGAATTACAGAGGATACATAAACAGAGAGGTGTTAAGAAACCTAGCAAGAAAGTGCCAAATTCTAAAGCAAAAGACCCAGGAACAATTCCAGCTACTGCACTCCCTTGAAGGTCTCAATGGGACTCTCATCTGCTCACAGGGCCCAACGCGAGAGGATCAGCTGCTCTGGGGGAGCTCCAAATATTTTGGAAAAACGGATCCTCACAAACTGTAAGAGCCTTAAATGACCCCGGAGCAGAGGCCTCCTTAACATATGGGAACCCCAAGAAACGTGAAGGACAACTGGTAGCTATTATAGGGTTGGGAGGGAAACAAACTGAAGCTGTACAAACACAAATAGAAATGAGAATAGGAAACCTCCCACAGCGACTGCATCCTGTGATGACTGTCCCCGCCCCAAAATATATCGCAGGGATGGGCATTCTAAAATGACTAACACTGAATCTCCCCAGTGCTCAGCCCCAATTTGGAATAAAGAATTGCATTCGTGCTCCAACAATTTCAGTGGGAAAAGTAACAATGCCTGCTGTGCAGATTCCTGCTGCAACTGAAGTAGTGACAGTGAAACAG